ACTACTAGTAAGGCACTTGTTCCTAGTAGCGTCCTTGCTCCTAGTAGCAATGCCCTTGTTACTGATATGCTGCACCTTCCTGTCTCTTTCCGCCTTTGATGGTCTCTGTGGGGCCGGAAACTCGACCAAAGAAGACAGAGCAGGCAAACACTCATGGAGAAATCCTCGATTCCAGCGATGACTCAGAACTGCCAGTCTACTTGGACTCTCACCACAAACCATCCAGACATGCTGTGGGAGGTATCCAAGTGAAAGCTGATGACGAACTGAACAGGACTGAGACACCTAGGACCGTCACTCAGGTCCGTCACTCCAGTGGCCTTTCAAGAAGATGTGAGGGATGAGGCGGGGATGGGAAGGGCGACTGGAAAGAATTGGTGTTGGGAGTTTTTTGGACACCGGAGAGATACAGACTGCGGGGTCGATGGTGAAAGGGGGTGATTCGCTCCATGACCCGATGCATTATGTACAGTTATTTTTTGTGCATCTCAAGAAAGTCTGAAACAAAACAGCTCTAATGGATTTTGTTTGCTAGTAATTACAAGTGCATCGCTAGTAGTAACATGTGCCTTACTGGTAGTTACAAGAAGCTAGTAGTAACAAGAAGCTATTAGGAACAAGTGCCACGCTAGTAGTAACAAGTGCATCGCTACTAGGAGGGAGCTTGGTTAGATGACCCTGCTGTGTAGTCGCGACTTCACGACGTGAGCTTGCCCAGGCGCTCTTCCCCTCCCTTGGCAGCAAGCCGAAGGTGATGACGTTGCCCAGGCAGTCGAAGCTTGATCTGTACCAGGCATTTCTTGTGGCTGTAGGCTTTGCAATGCCTTGTGGAGTTGCCTCTCCCATTTTCTTTTTTCAACATGTTTCAGTCGGTTGGAGGCCATCGCTATTAGGGTGGAGGCCATCGCTATAAGCCCATCGCTAGGAGGTTAGAGGCCATCGCTCTTAGGTTGGAGGCCATCGCTATTAGGGTGGAGGCCATCGCTATAAGGGTGGAGGCCATTGCTAGTAGGTTGGAGCCCATCGCTAGTAGGTTAGAGGCCATCGCTCTTAGGTTGGAGGCCATCGCTATTGGGGTGGAGGCCATCGCTGGGTGGAGGCCATTGCTAGTAGGTTGGAGCCCATCGCTAGTAGGTTAGAGGCCATCGCTCTTGGGTTGGAGGCCATCGCTATTAGGGTGGAGGCCATCGCTATAAGGGTGGAGGCCATTGCTAGTAGGTTGGAGCCCATCGCTAGTAGGTTAGAGGCCATCGCTCTTAGGTTGGAGGCCATCGCTATTAGGGTGGAGGCCATCGCTATAAGGGTGGAGGCCATTGCCAGTAGGTTGGAGCCCATCGCTAGTAGGTTAGAGGCCATCGCTCTTAGGTTGGAGGCCATTGCTATTAGGTTGGAGGCCATAGCTTTTTGGTTGAAGGCCATGGCTATTGGATTGGAAGCCATCGCTCTTAGGTTGAAGGCCATCGCTATTAGGTTGGAGGCCATCGCTAGTAGGTTGGAGGCCATCGCTAGTAGGTTGGAGGCCATCGCTGTTAGGGTGGAGGCCATGGCTAGTAGGGTGGAGGCCATCGCTATTAGGTTGGAGGCCATCGCTATTAGGGTAGAGGCCATCGCTAGTAGGTTTTGCTTCAGGTTTCGTGAGGAGAAGGAAGACGAAAGAGGCCCGTTCCGGCTGGGTGGTCACGGTGGGCAACGTCTCATGTTTTTCACTTCATTTGTAATTAACATGCAGAGGCAAATTCCAAACTCTGGCCGCTGGCCTGACTCCGGATCAGGGGAGGCTTCTCCAGTTTCTCCAAGGTCTGATTCAAAAGCTGAGACATGTTCTCAGGGTTCTCTAATCGAAACAAGACTTCTCAGCATGTTTTCACGATTTTCACTTCTCAAGTCTCATCTCAACAAGTCTAAGTTAAGCATGGTCCTCTCAGCTTCGTTCACCTGCAGCTTCACCCTTTTCAAGTCCCACTTGACAGAGTGCCAAAGATAGTGCCATGGTCCGTCCTAGGTCCCGAGCCCGTCGAGCCCGTCGTCTCGTTGAAGGCGACGGCAGTTTAGATTCTTGAAGTTTGGATGTTGTTCGATGTTCTGGGGAATCCCATTTCGGGACTTAAATCTTCGATCCAAGCAGTTGAGGCACGTTCAGATCGAGTTAGATCCGCCATCAGTTTGATCAAAACATTTCGAACGATTTTCCGGCTCTCCGTGTGGTCGAAACCTCCGACCCCACGAGCCGGTCCGAGCCGAGTCTCGGTGAATTCAACGGTTCGCGGCCGGGCACTTTCCCGCTAACCTCTTTTCTTTTCAGCCATTTTTTGGGAGAATGTTTTTTGAGAATTGAGAATGATACAAAAAGTTTTGGGAACGCATCGACACTGAACTCATGTTTTTGAGTTTTGGGGTACGTATGTGGAGCCACACATTGAGACACACATGGAGCCGCTCCTCAACTGCCTCAAGCGCGAGGATGCCCTGCTTTCCTTCCTGGACAGTGGGCAGTCCCAGCTCGAAAGTCGTGGCAGACTGCCTGGGGAGGAAACTGTTGATGGATGCATAAAGGATCCAAAAAGAGAAACGTTTCCTTACAAATCTAGGAACCAAATGAATAGCTCGGTCTCCTTCATTTGAGAGGTTCAGATCCACGCTTCAGAAAATAGAACCCCCAACAAGCACAAGGATTGTTTTGTTATGTTTTGTTTTGTTTTCCTTTAGTTTTTTAGAGTATGTTGTTTGTTTTATTTCAATGGTTTCCTTCCACGCTTCCTGTTGCATCCTGTTGGAGGGAAGGAGAGACGAACGGCCAGAGGTCGAGAAGGCTATATAGCTCATATCAACGAGATCAACAACGACCGGACCTTGAAGGAGGTGCTGAACTTGATCGTTCCGAGTCAGTCGGGTTTCTGGTGGTTTCGGGGTTGTCACAATACAGAGATGGGGAGTTGTTGAAACAGTTGTTGACGCACGTTGACACGTTGACAGCTGTCTGCAGAACGATCTTTTCCAGCCCAATCCAGCCCCTAAGATTCCGAAAGTTGAAGAAAGCCCTTCACCGGAGCACCTCTGCACGATGGCACATTCGAGACTCCCAATCGACCGGAGACATAGTGCCAGGTGATGGCGGCCCAGCAAAAGCCTCTCATGGCAGTGAACAAGGCGTCGTGAGGGCTGAAGACCCATGTGGTGCGAATTCCAATGCAAAACAACCTGAACCAACTGAGTCATGGCCTCGCCATTTATGAATCAAGCAGAAAGTGTGAAGGAAGGACCCCTGTATGTGCTCCGCTCATTTGGTGATTGAAAGCAATAGTGCACGATCTGAGTTTTGCACTTTAGATCAAGGCAACTTGTTTCGGTCCCTGGATATTCGCTACCAACACCAGATCCTTGTTTGTCCACACAAGTGCCCCGACTGGCTAAGGATTCTTCTTCTAATTGAAAAAGACAGTCACGCATTTCGGCTCACTTTGTGTGATGATAGATTGAAAGTGAAGCTGGTAGTCTCCTACAGATGACTCCCACGACCTTGTTGGCAACATTTCCTGCAAATGTGATGTGAATCATGGAGATTCCGAGGGCTCCAATGTTTGGCTCATTCGAGAATCTCCATTTTTCGATCGCAAAGCCCCGTGAAAAGCCCCGTGAACGTCATGAGGCGTCGCTGCCTTCTGTTCACAAAGGTGAAGATATTCGACACATCGACTGTGGCATTCAGAGGGAAAACATTTGAAAACAGAAGATGTGAACGGTTCCTCCGCACCGAAGAAACGCCGAAAAACTGCCATCACTCCAGGCGTGGCTGAAGCAGCACGAGGAGGACTTCACCCTCTTCCGAGCGAATGACAATGAGATGTACGTCGCCAAGACCGAGGCCCAGCGTCCAGGAAAGCGCGGCAAACTGGAAACTGACAAAGGTAAAACTGATGTAAAGGCAAAGCGCGGCGATCTGGAAGGGATCTGAAAAGAGTTGCGAGTGAAGCTTTGGAAGCTCTAGCCCATATTAGTCCATGCTGAGGATGAACTCGTGATTTTCTCAGGCTAAGACTCAAGAGAAGCAGCTTTTTTACCTGCCATCAACAACCGATGCATCCTTTCTTTTTTTCTCAAAATTACGGACCCTCCAGACCTGTACTTGGAAGGAAGAATCGATTCCTTACAAGAGCTGGTGAACATGATTGTTGCTGCCGGAGATGGATATGGGAGGATTGCAAACAACAATGTTGCAAACACCTGAAGCAAAAGAGTGTGTTTTGTGGACCAGGCAAGTTTGATGATCCCTCATATTTTCTCCTTTGGGTGGTTTAGACATGTTTAGACATAGGACACGATCCATCCAAGAACATTCTTCCTGTGGGCCCGGAGTTGATTCTGGCAGGCGGTGGCCTCTCAGAAGGCTGCCAGAGCCAAGGCCAGGCCCAATGACTCTGGGCCCATGTTTGCAGGAATACTCAAACTGAAAGTGATTCTAAGCAAGAGCATATTTGAAGGTGTTGTTTCTCTTTTGCCAACCAAGGCTTTTCTGCGACTTTGATCCTTCTTGGTCGGAACGGTGTCTTGGAATAGGGTAAACCCCACTGGTCAAAGGAACATAGACAGTCAACGACAATCCCAACCCGTTTGCCGGGGGTCTTGCATTCGTAGTTTTGGCGGAGGTAGCTTGCGCATGGGTGCCCCGACACGCCCAGATTAGGTTCGAGGCCATCGCTCTTAGGTTGGAGGCCATCGCTATAAAGTTGGAAGCCATCGCTACTAGGTTGGAGGCCATGGCTATTGGGTTGGAGGCCATCGCTATGAGGTTAGAGGCCATTGCTATCAGGTTGGAGGCCATCGCTTCTAGGTTGGAGGCCATCGCTCTTAGGTTGGAAGCCATCGCTCGTAGGTTGGAGGCCGTCGCTCTTAAGTTGGAAGCCATCGCTCTTAGGTTGGAGGCCATCGCTATTAGGTTGAGGCCATAGCTAGTAGGTTGGAGGCCATCGCTCTTAGGTTGGAGGCCATCGCTATTAGGTTGGAGGCCATCGCTATTAGGTTGGAGGCCATCCCTCTTAGGTTGAAGGCCGTCGCAATGGTTGGTGGCCATCGCTCATAGGTTGAAGGCCATCGCTATTAGGTTGGAAGCCATCTCTATTAGGTTGGAGGTCATCACTATCAGGTTGGAGGGCATCGCTAGTAGGTTGGAGGCCATCGCTATTAGACTTGAGGCCATCGCTGGTAGGGTGGAGGGCTAGGGTTTTGATGGGTTTTGGGTGTTTCTCGGACCCGAGCCAGACGAACTCGGAGCAGAAGAAGCAGCCTGCATACCAGCAGGTGGGATCTCTGTAACCGTCCGAGGTGGCTGGGAAGATTTCTGGGAAGGCTTGAGCTCTTTTTTCTTTCAGACTGATCAATTTTCACTTTCAGAGCGGTGGAGGCCATCGCTAGAAAGTACCGAGAGGACAATGCTCGACTCGATCGGGTCCGATGCATCGGTTGGCGGCCACTCAGTCCGGGTAAGCGAAAACGTCCAGTCGTGATCCGACGATGGACCACAATCATCAGTCTACCTTCCCGAAGATAAACATTGGCTTCTGGATTCTTGGATGTTGTGATGCCAGCTTATGGCCACAACCTCTATTTCTGTTACTGAAAGCCCGAGAAGCTTGACCTTTCATCTTTCTAAGCTAATCCCAAGCAACTCTGAAGCAACCCAATCACTTTCAACAGGCTTTTCGATGTGTTTCCTCAGACTCTGTGGGCTTGCCGTTCCTTTCCATCAGTGGAAGCAGGTCATTCAGAAGGCTGATGCAGAAGCGGCTGGACACCCGGGATGTCGAACAAAACTGATCGTTTTTCGTTTTCGAGGGACCTCGTGAGTTTTTCCAAAATGAGTCGGTGAACAAGAACTAGCGACGGTGCTTCACCGTGTTTGTATGATGGCCACCAACCTACTAGCGATGGCCGCCAACCTAATAACGATGGCCTCCAACCTAGAAGCGA